AGAGCTTATTGGGGACGTAGCAGTAAAACAAGAACTACATGTATTAAAAATTCAACTCAACTTAGTGCAGCTTCACTGGAGAGGAGAGATCATTCATTTTAAGATTACAAACAAAGACTGAGATGTTCACTTGTGTCCTCTTAGCTCTTTTATTAACAAGAAAAACTCCAACATTTTATTTTGTACAGACATGTAAATGTGGCACTCATCTCACATCTTGAACATAGAAACACAATTTATTACAAACTCAACCTGTTAGCTTTTCTTTGAATGTGTTTTATTTCCTTCTTCAAACTTTCATTGATGCATTCAACACATTGAGACTTAGTCAAAAATAAAAGACATTTAGAATAAAATATCTACAATGAAAGAAGCTCTGGTGCTTTCTCTCTCTCATGCTTTACAAGAGAAACAACAACATACAAATACATCAATATCGATATTCAACAAATATTTAGAGCAAAGTTTACATTTCCATGCAGAGAAATATGAGTTGAGGTTAACAGAAATCCTCCTGAGCAGTGACAGCCTCCACGGCTAAACAGACACAGGAAGGAGCGCCGCCTAAAGAAACTCCAACATCTACAGAACAACTCAGGAGAAGATGTTAAAGCACATCCCATAATGTTTGATTGACAGCTGATCTCTGTGCAGTGAAGACATGAACAATCAGCTCTCAGCAACAATGATGGACACACAATGAGTTTAAGAAGTAGAAGAGTTCCTCAAATGACTTCAGGCTATTTCAGTTTACACAACTCAAATGTGTCTCCATAACCATAAAGATAAACTCCAGCATGTAGCGGCTGAGTGAATGTGGTCTGGACTCTGTGGAGGAGAGTCATGGTTTCAGAGATGCTGTAGAAGGACAGAATACCTGCTCTGTGATCCAGGTACACTCCTACTCTGGAGGACTGAGGACCTGAGACGGGAGTTTTGATATTGTTGTAACGAAATGAATAACTGTTTTGGTTACAATCTAAGGACCAAGATTTGTCATTGTATCCAAATAAACTTTCACCCCCTGCTCTGATGATATTCTTGTATGCGACTGCTACAAAAACTCCTCTCCCTCTCCACTCCACCTCCCAGTAACAACGTCCAGTCAGACTCCCTCTACTCAGGACCTGAGGCAATACAGTGAATCTGTCTGGGTGACTAGAATAAGACTGATGTTGTCCCATGCATGTTGCTTTTCTGCTCCCCTCAGATAATACCAGCAGTGTGTGTGCTGTGTTTGGATCCAGAGTGATCTCCTGTGAATATTGTAAGAACCCAGCTCTGGTGGTGGGCTCTGCTGCTGACAGTAAAACATCCACTTCAGTCGGTGAGACGTTTGTCCATTCCTCTCTCAGGACGTCCTGTAGTTTGTCTCTGACTGCTGACAGGGCCGCCGTCACGTCCTCAAAGTAGCTCAGAGGACGGATGTTGATGCTGGATGAGTGTGTAGGTTCACTGAGGGCTGACAGTGAGGGGTAGCTGTGCAGAAACTGGTTGTGATCCTCTGTGTGAGACAGCAGCTTCAGCTCAGCGTCTCTCCTCTTCAGCTCAGCCATCTCCTGCTCCAGCTTCTCCTGAAGCTCTTTGACTCGACTCACTTCACTCTTCTGCTGGGATCTGACCTGCTGCTTCACATCAGAGCTTCTTTTCTCCATGAGACGGATCAGCTCAGTGAACATCTTCTCACTGTCCTCCACTGCTTTATCAGCAGAGCCATTGACGGCCTCCACCTCCTGCTGAAGCAGCTTCACCTCCTTCTCTCTGTCCTGGATTCTCTGCTGGATGTTTAGTCGACTCCCCTCCAGCTCTCTCTGCCTCTCAGTCCTTTCTGCAGCAGCTGACACTGTGTCGTGGCCTTTGTGTTCGTCCACAGAGCAGAGATAACAGATACACTGCTGATCAGTGCGGCAGAACATCTTCATCACCTCGTCGTGACGAGAGCAGATGTTCTCCTGGAGCTTCTTGGAGGGCTCCACCAGCTTGTGTTTTTTCAAGACATTATTAAATTCATTATGACACTGGAGGTGTTTCTCACAATAAGAGGCCAGACACACGAGACAGGACTTACAGGCTCTCAGTTTTCTCCCAGTGCAGACATCACAGGCCACATCTTCAGCTCCAGCATAGCAGTGATCAGCAGGAGCAGCTTGGAGTCCAGTCTTCTTCAGCTCCTCCACTAAAGCTGCTAACATGGTGTTTTTCAGCAGGACAGGCCTCGGTGTGAAGCTCTGCCTACACTGAGGGCAGCTGTGGATCTTCTTCTCATCCTCTCCATCCCAGAAGCCTTTAATACACTTCATGCAGTAGCTGTGTCCACAGGAAGTCGTCACCGGATCCTTCAGTAGATCCAGACAGATCGAACAAGAGAAGGTTTCCCGGTCCAGCTGAACTCCTTTCTGCGCCATTTCACCTCTCACTGGCAGCGAGTGTCTGAGTTTCACTTCCTGAAACCTGAAACTATGTGAGCTGTGATCTGAACAGCATGGGTGTGTGCAGTGAATGTGGCCTATCAGCTCTTGTTCTTTACCCACATGTTGGTTACACCCGTCCTCCTCAGTGTGGATCTAAAGGGGAGGAGCCAGGAAATACAGAGTGGAGCTGGCTGTGTCTGAGAGCAGGAAGAAGAGGGAGGGCTTATCAAACTCTGACTCATTCCAGGAGGAGGAGCAGCGCTGACACTCTGAACTGTTTCCTCATTCACAAACGGAGCCTCGCTTACAACCTGCTCTACATTTGTAAACAGTCTTCAGCTGTAAAATATTTGTTTTAAATTCAGGCTTTTGTAGCACACAGCTCCACACTCATGGTGGCAGTGGTGAAAGAAGTACTCAGATATTCTACTAAAGCAAAAGTAGAAATACTACAGGGTAAAAATACTCTGTAACAAGTAAAAGTACAAAAGCATTGGTATCAAAATATACTTTAAGTACCAAAAGTAAAAGTACTCCTTATGCATAATGGCCCTTTTCAGAATCGTATATATATATATATATATATATATATATATATATATATATATATATATATATATATATATATATATATATATATTGAGTTACTATAATGATTATTGATGTGTTTTATCACAGTTAGTAAATGTAGAGCTAATTTGAGCAACTGTATGTCCTGCTGCTGGATATCTTATCCTATAAATATCTGTCAAAGTGTATTTAATAACTGATTTATAATTTGAATTATCTACTAATCTATATCTAACTAGTAACTAAAAGCTGTCGAGTAGAAGTAAAGCAGCATAAACTGAGACATATTGGCATCAAAAAATAGTTAAAGTACCAAAAGTAAAAGTACTTACTGCGCCCAATGTCCCATTTTAGAATCTTATATTGAATTACTGGATTCTTTCATTTTGTTTACGTTAATGTGTTCATCACAGCTGTTAAAAGTGGAGCAAGGTTTACTTTATATACTGCTGCTGGATATCTTATAATAATAATAATAATAATAATTATATATCACTGTTTATTCATATTTTGTTTAATCTAATCATTTGTATTTGTAAAGTAACTAGTAACTCATTTTGTCAAATAAATGCAATGCTTTCTGCGGTCATGACTACTTCACTTTGACTGTGGTCTTTTTTCAGCTCTTTAATGAATAAGAAAACCCCCTGCAGTCGTATATTTTCCAGACCTGAGGTGGTTTACAAATATCTCCTGAAAATGAATTCACAAGGCAGTAAAAACTGAAAATCCATGCTTTTTCCTCATGACTTCTTTCAGTCAGGTAACACAGTATCTGGGATACATTGTCTTCAAACTGTTAACTCTGTATGTAAGGACTCCACGGTGCAGACCCATGGAGAGAAATCAAGTGTAGTGATTGTCTCTGGTGCTCCAATGTATAGTAAATGCTCTTCAGCCCCACCCTTGGAACAAACTCCCAGCAGCTTCACATCTGATAATCACCACCGGACAGGTCAGGAATTATATTCTATTCTATTTTATTTGTAGTGTATGAGTTTAAGATTGTGCACTATATACTCAACATGTTAGGTACAAACCATTTACGGTTAAACAGAAAAGGTTCAAATCCCCTGTTACCTGTAAGAAAACTAAAGCTCAGAATTGTTAAACAGAGGATTGGCATTCATATCATCTGACACCATATCTGTCTGCATGCCATATCCCGCATTAACCACAGAGTAGCAGCGTTGCCTCTTAACCCATTCATATCCCACCCTTTATGTATACAGTCTATGATTCCAGCAAATTAAACTAAAAGCATTAGATTCCTCACTAAACTGTGTTCCTCAGATCAGGGGAATGTTTTATGAGTGGCATTCAACTGCAGTCTGATCTCATGTGAACTTCAGGCATGTGGTTTGGGTTGAGGTGAGGTTTCCGCAGCCAACTTGGGGCCCCAAGCGACATTGTGAGATGAGGCCCCCCCCCCCACCGACAGGAGTGAAACCATTTTTTTGGAAACAAAGTACTTTGCAAATATAATTCCTGTTTATTATTATTATCCACACAGTTACTTTTTTATACAGTGAGGTAAATGGTAAATGTGCATGTATGTCGTTCAGTATGCGTTTACAGGTGAATAAGTCTGCATTTCCTGCCAAATACTAGCCTCAAAAAGATTAAAATATAATTAATGCAAATAAACTACTTCTACTAATAATCTCAACTGCGCTGAGAACTGCGCACAAGCCAAGCTCATAAGCCGAGTATAAAGTAACATAAAATGAAAGCACTGAAGTAAAGTACACACGTCAAAAAAATACTCAAGTAAAATACTTGAGTAAATGTACTTAGTTACTTTCCACCACTGACCACCACACAATAAAGACTGTAAGTTAACCCCACCATGTGCAATGTATAATATCCACTCATGTAACACCATTGTACATGTGTGAAACGAAAAGGGATTTTGTATTGTTATATCTAATTCCAAAAGCATCCAAGTGATTTTCTCCTGCATAATCCCGTGTCCCCACTAGGTGGCGGTAATGCGCATCTTAACCAGTTTGACAGCCACCAAAAAGAAAACAGAAGAAGAAGAAGTAGCCTGATCATGCGAACATCTCCAGAATGGTAACCGGTTATCATGTTGTAAATGTCATCGTTACTCAGCTTATTTTTATATAACAATACAGCCGAAATGCATTAACATGTCCACTTATCTCCGTTATGTTCAGCTTTAGCGTTACATTGACCGCTTACCTGTGAAAACAGCTAACATAAGTAAAGTGGTTAGCATCAGAGTTAGCATGTAGCTCAATGATACCAAAACAACTGCAATTTTCACTAATTTCGCTCCATAATATAGTCATTTTCAGGCTTGACACGCAGGTTGTGGTTGTATATCATTGAAACAAGGTCATTTAGAAATTGTGCCATGTTTAAAATATATAATACACTGTAGTATGTCATATATTCATTGTCTTAAGTTTCTTTTTAGGTTATTATTTGTATATTTTCTTTGTTTATGTTTGCACCACCATACACCAAAGCTAATTTCTTGTTTATGTAAACGTGTAAAACACTTGATTCTGATTCTGATAAGTATTGTGGTGATGTGTTCAATGTCAGGGTACCCAAGTGAAAGATGTCATCATTAAGCCTGACGCCCCCAGCTCTCTGCTGCTGGACAAACATGCAGACTACATCGCGGCCTACGGCTCCAAAAAGGATGACTATGTGAGTAAAAGGACATTTTGCAGGATTAATTGATGTTTTTTTAAGAGTGTATCTTTTAGTTCCCAGGGTCCTATGTTCCCCAAGTATATTTTATCTTTATATGACACATGAAGGACACTTTTTAGAGGAATTCGTTTTTTAAGCAATGCTTTTTTGGCCATTGTTAAATGTTCAATATATGTTTTTCATGGTCAGTTGAAATCACCCACCTTCAGCTAAAAGCAAACTGATCTACTCTTTGAAACAGACACCATCAAATGTGCAGATATACCACAGCATGTCAACAATTCTTCTTGTCATATTCACTCATTCATCTACATAATATGACTTTACTCCGCATCGGTTTTGACCCACCATTTTTTCCCCTTTGGGCGTTTATATTTCCAAAGTGGCTGAACATATTTTGACTGTAATAACTGCATTCAAAACTCTCACTTCAACTTCCTTGCTTGATCTGTGAATGGCCTTACCAACCTCTTCCAACATTGTTAAGTACGGTGAATAATGCTGAGGCTAGTCTTGGATCCAAGGAACATTCATTCTGGAAAAAAATCTCCTAAGATTGTCTTTACCACAGACCAGGGATTTAACCAAAAACCCATAAAAGATCCCATAGATTTTGAGATGAGGGACCCATAAGTGCAATAATGCTGACTCATTCCCGGGTTTTTGGACTCATTCCTGCTGCACTGTTTATCTTTCCTGTTTGTTTGTGTTTGTCCAGGAGTACACACTGTCAGAGTACCTGCGGATGAGCGGCATCTACTGGGGGCTGACGGTGATGGACCTGATGGCGCAGCTGCCCCGGATGAACCGGCCGGAGATCGTAGACTTCATCAAATCCTGTCAGCACGAGTGTGGAGGCCTCAGCGCCAGCATCGGACACGACCCCCACCTGCTCTACACCCTCAGCGCCGTGCAGGTGACTCCTCAGGAAATGTGACAGATTGCTAAACCTATTCTTGTTTTTCTCATCAACTTCTGTGGATGAGAGAAGTTGGAAATGTTGCCAACAAACGGAAAAAATAGTATACTTTGTTCAAACTTTCAACTTTATTCAAATTTGATGCAAGCAGACATTTTAAGTATGTTTTAATGGATTTAGTTCCTGGAGGACACACAGAACTATACAATAATTGTATTTCTTATAGATTTTATTTATCTTACTCTTTCTCTCTCTCTAGCAGCCTCAGTACCCAAATCCTTTCAGTCTATTTACTGTTTTACTCCTTTCTTCAGATCCTGTGCTTGTATGACAGTGTGGATGCTCTCGATGTGGACAAAGTGGTGGAGTACATCAAAGGGCTGCAGCAGGAAGACGGATCCTTTGCAGGAGACAAATGGGGTGAGCCAGACTTACTCTGATTAATGTCTCAAGAAACATTTGCTCCTCCAATGAAAAATAAAAGCAGACAATAATTTGAGAAAAGGGGATCAAATAATAGGCATTTCATCAAATAACTTGTATCACAACAACAATGTACAAATTAGAGCTGTAACAATTAGTCTAACAACAGATTAATGAACCCACTATATATAAAATAATAATACAGTGTTTAAGTTGTTTTTTTATGCAAGAATTCCAGAAAATGCAGTTTTTAGCTGCTTTATTATGATATTTCCTGTTTTATATAATATTGAACTGATTATCATTTGGTCTTGGTCTGACAAGAAAGACATTTACAGTCGTCCCCTTGAACTTTGACAAACTGGGATGCATTTCTTTTTGTATTTTCTGACATTTCTTAGACCATTTGATCATTCATAATAAAAATAATGGTTAGTTTCAGCCCCGGTACAATTCAAACGCGTGTTGTGCTTGCAGCGTAAATTCCACTTAAACATATAATAATAATAAATATAATATTAAATACCGTGTTTGCGTTACAGGAGAAATAGACACCAGATTTTCCTTCTGTGCTGTTGCGACACTTGCGTTACTGGTACGTATATCATGTACAGTTTTTTCTTGTCTCAACAGTGTAACTCTTTCTAATCTGAAGATGACTCTCTGTCCTCTCTTCCTTCTAAGGGCAAGATGGACAAAATAAATGTTGACAAAGCTGTGGAGTTCATCCTGTCCTGTATGAACTTTGACGGGGGTTTTGGCTGCAGACCGGGTTCAGAGTCTCACGCTGGTCAGGTGAGTCCACTCATGTTCACCTTTAATGCAAGACAATCGCTATTTGAGTTTCACTTTCATCTCTTTTAGAACAAAAGCAGCCCATCCAGAGTTTAAACCTGAAGAAGGTTCTAACTGGTGTGTCAAGGTGTTCAACATTTGATATGTTTATCTGATGTCGTTTTTTCAATTATCCTTGACATCTGTTGTAGGGTTAGGAAAACACACACATACAGGTCAAATTAGGGCTGCTCAATTAATCGTATTTTAATCGCGATTACGATTATGGCTTGCAACGATTACGAAAACATCGTAATCGAAATAAAACGATTATTTTTTTATTAATAATAATAAAAACAATTTTTTGTTTTTGTTTTCAGTTGAATTATACTTAAAGTTCAGGGTAATCAACTGTTAAAAACATACTGTTCACATTTTTTTTCTCCAATAAATTGATGTTTTCAAAGTAAAAGTAAAAGTTTTTAATAATCGTGATATCAGTTATTGACCCAAATAATCGAGATTATGATTTTTGCCATAATCAAGCAGTCATGTAAAAACTAACCATTAGAAGACACTGTATGAGAGACTAGCTTCCACTTTATTATACAGTTCAACAGCTGAACTGAAGCTCATGCACCAGGGAGCTTTTTCTTTTCAAGACAAATCATATCTAAAAATTCAAATCTCAATAAAAACCTACTTCATAATCCATAATGACTACCTTACCTCTAATATACTTAAATTCAAAAGATATAACTTCAAATGCAGGGACGCAGGAAGTCAGTCAGAGTTGGGGGTGCGGCGTGCTGGGGGGGGGCGGTGTTAGTGGAGCCTCGCAGCGGCGAAACTGTGGCGCGCTACACTAGGTGCGCCGAGTTTGCGCTTCAGAGGAGGCTCCCTCCGCAAAATGAGGCCCCATCCGCGAGGGCTCTGCGTGATCTGCGTGTAGGGAGGGGCGGCCCTGTATAATAACGTCATATTAAATGCAGTCATTTGGTCTTTAGCAACAGCTTGTGAGAGCAGCGCATTCATCAGTGTTCGTCTTAATGCTGCCAGTTTGTTGACGGCCTGTGTGTTGATGGGACTTCTCATGCTCCCTAAATGTTTCCCCTGCCTTTCGCCAGTTGTTAAACCCTGCTTTCACAAAACCCCCATCCCTGATCTTGTCTGCAGTGACGAGCTTCTTTTCTATAGCAGAGCAACAGAAGAAGCACCCCGCATTATCACTTTCTCTTATATAGTGAAGCTTTTTATAGACTGCTTACACTAAAATGCTAACTCAAAAATAGTAACTCAAAATAAAACTTTTGTATTGATTTGTTTAGTGAACTTTTTGGCGTTGCAGTTACAACTCTCCGCCAACAGATGGGGGTGCTGCAGCCCCCTCAGCACCCCCCCCTTCCCTGTTCAAATGTACATCTTTTATGAATAGAATAGGAAAACTATGGGGAAATGTACAAGCAAATCCTTGCCTCATACAGGTGTTGAGCTGCCAGTTTCTAAATAAATGTTATTTATTTGTGAGGCTGTGGGCTGGTCTTGTGGGAAGATTAAATCACAACGGAGAGACTGTCAATCCCTCACACTGACAGGTGAAATGTCCTCTCTGGAGTCGGATGCCGTTTCATTCACACCCCTCTTCAGCTGTGACATGTGTTAAACTTCTTCTCACCTGTACTCCCTGTGGTCTCTTCCCTGCTGTCCGTCAGATCTACTGCTGCGCCGGCTTCCTGTCGCTCACCGGCCAGCTGCACCAGGTGAACGCTGACCTGCTGGGCTGGTGGCTCTGCGAGAGGCAGCTGCCGTCCGGAGGCCTGAACGGACGCCCGGAGAAGGTTAGTGCTCTCCAGAGGATGTGCGGGGAAATCAAGGGGCTTCTTGTCATTGTTTAACCTTAACTAAATCAGGACAGAATGATTACTGAAGTAGTTCTGCTGCTCCTATTCTTATTTCTTCTCTATCTGGAAATTATTTTTGATTAGTTGTGAGTTCCACAGGACAAAAGTTTATTCACACTGGAAGAGTTTAACAGAGATTTCCATTTCCTGGCTGCCATTATTATATACTTATATGGCTGAGTCTAACAAAACAATTTAGCTCCACAGCTTTAAATGTGCTATATGTGTTCATTGTATGATTTCACCAGGAGATTATGCTCCAATTCAAACACTGAGTAAGTGCATTGAACAAATCAATGACTGGATGTGTCAGAACTTTCTCCAATTAAACAAAGATAAAACTGAGGTAATGGTTTTTGGAGCCAAGGCAGAACGTATAAAAGTTAGCGCTGAGCTTCAGTCTGCAATGTTCAAAACAACAGATAAAGCCAGAAATCTAGGTGTAGTCATGGACTCTGACCTGAGTTTCAACAGTCACATTAAAACAGTTACTAAATCAGCCTACTATCACCTAAAGAACATATCTAGGATTAAAAGATTAATGTCACAGCAGGATTTGGAAAAACTTGTCCATGCTTTTATCTTCAGTAGACTCGACTACTGCAATGGTGTCTTTACAGGTCTCACTAAAAAATCTATTAGAAAGCTGCAGCTAATTCAGAACGCCGCTGCTCGAGTCCTCACTAACACTAAGAAAGTGGATCACATCACTCCTGTTCTGAAGTCTTTACACTGGCTTCCTGTGTGTCAAAGAATAGATTTCAAAATATTGTTGCTGGTTTATAAAGCTTTGAATGGTTTAGGCCCAAAATACATGTCTGACCTACTGCTAAATTATGAACCATCCAGAACTCTCAGGTCTTCAGGGACTGGTCAGCTTTCTGTCCCCAGAGTCAGAACTAAACATGGAGAAGCAGCGTTCAGTTATTATGCTCCGAATATCTGGAACAAACTCCCAGAAACCTGCAGGTCCGCTGCAACTCTTACTACTTTTAAATCCAGGCTGAAGACTTTTCTTTTTGCCGCTGCTTTTAATTGAACTATTCACATCTTAAACTGCACTGTAACTTTTAACTTTTATCCATGTATTTTTTCTTTTAATGTTTATTTTATTATCTTTTGTTTTTAATGACTGATTTTAAATGCCATTTTTAAAATGTCTTCCATTTTTGTAAAGCACTTTGAATTACCTTGTGTTGAAAGGTGCTATATAAATAAACTTGCCTTGCCTTGCCTTGCCTTACACGCCTTAACTTTGAAACAATGCCAGCATGAGGGGGGAAAAAATGACTGTCTCCCCCACTCCGTCCCCACTTGCTCTGTGAATGTGTGTGTATGTGCTCAGATGAGTGTGTGTGTGTATGTGCTCAGATGAGTGTGTGTATGTGCTCAGATGAGAGTGTGTGGACTGCTGAGTAGAGAGCAGAGAGTGGCCTTCACTGTTTGCCAAATATTAGCAAAACATTTGATGATGAATCACACGAAGTATTTAATTGATCTCACAGACAAGGCATCTCCTCATTAGATGGGGAAACTTTGAAAAGCTCAGACGGCAGCATATTGACCACCAAGTTTGGGCTTTCACAGCCAAAGTTTCTGTTCGGTGTTGCATGCCCCTGCAATCCCATATATTTCTCCTTGTTCCTGCTGACTGCTCCAAGTGCAACATATCTACTCATTTAAATTAGCAAAAGTAATTCCGTTAACTTGTAAAATAAAATAATATATGTACATTTGTTTATATCAAAAACATAAGGAAGCTGGGATCTTATTAACTTGCACGTACAGTACTGACACCGCTCTGGTTTTCTTTGTGTCATTCAGCTTCCGGATGTGTGCTACTCGTGGTGGGTTTTAGCATCTCTTAAAATCATTGGTAGGATCCACTGGATCGACAAGGCCAAGCTGCGATCGTTTATTCTGGCCTGTCAGGACGAGGAGACCGGAGGCTTTGCCGACAGACCGGGAGACATGGTGAGCCGTCACACATGAGTAACTCCTGCATGCTGTGATGGAAAGAGGAAGCGTTTAAGACCTGTGTTTTCCCCAAATCCTGTCTGCTGTTTCAACTCGTCTAACCCTGTCTGCACATCCATGATCCCCTCCTTTGTCTCTCCATCTTATATATATATTTTGAACCGGTCAAAAGGTATGAGATAAAGAGATCTTGAGGTAGATGGCAATGGACTTAAGTACTGGAGGGTTTTAGATAAGATCAGACTCTAGTTTGTGCACAGTTCAGGCACAGAGACAACCTACGTAATCCTGTTAAGAATTTACCCAGAAGTGCATATAAGCATATTGAAGATGTAATCAAAAAGATATTATAATAGTAATAATAGGGAAAAGTACTGGAAAAAATAATACTAAAATAGAATAGAAACATTGTTACGACTGAAATAAAAAAAAAATTATGTAAATAAAATGATGTAAATAATGTCCATAAACCATTCTGAATACATAGCCTGGCTAAATAAGTAAGTTTGCAACTCCTTTTTGCTTATTATATTCCTCTTAAATGTTAAGTGTCATGCCTCCTCTCTGCAGGTGGATCCTTTCCACACTCTGTTTGGAATCGCAGGTCTCTCTCTTCTCGGGGACGAGCAGATAAAGCCGGTGAATCCGGTTCTGTGCATGCCGGAGGACGTCCTGCAGAGGGTCCGCCTGCAGCCCGACATCCTCAGCTAGCCCACGACACCATCACAACAACACACACACGCACACACTCACACACATACACACACACACACACACACACACACACACACACACACACACTCACACTCACACTCACACTCACACTCACACACACACACACACACACACACACACACACACACACACACACACACACACACACACACACACACACACACACACTCACACTCACACTCACACACAGCTGCCCTGCTAAACACCCAGAGAGAGAGAGAGAGAGGACCACTACACATCTTAGTGTTAACTGAAGTCCTCAGACACATTTTATCTGCAGGTTTCACTAAGGACAAGGAGAGTCTGTCTTTACACCCTCACAGCTTATGTTATCATGTCACTTTTGTCGGTTTTACTGCAAGAGAACAGTTTGGAAAAGAGACAACCATCAGTGCTAAACTCCAGAAACCATTAGAAAACATTCCTTAGATTTCCGACTTACTCTGTCTGAGGGAAAACATGTGACTGTTAGCGAACTGGAATATTCTCATACCTCTCATTGGCCAGAGACAGAGGCACTGATTAACTCTGCTTTGTTATGTGCATTAAACAAATGATCAAGGTAGATTATTTTTGACAGATTAAGACACTTGACTGGTTCTGCCTTTCTTATGCATCGACTGTGTTTTTTGAAAAGTAAAAGCATGTGAAGGTAAAACTATCCTTGTCCTGTTTAAACTAGAGCAAATGTACCACCCCTTTGCTTACATCTCTTACACTTGGAGAAGCAACATATGACTTGTTGTGAACAAGTTAGTTCACTTCAGTTTACAGTACTAACAGGAATAGTTTTTTGCATAGATTTGAGGAAGATGTAATCTTTTGTCCCTAGAGGTATAAAACATGGCCACGTCTTAGTCTCTTGCCAAGCACATTTAACGTCTTATCCACAATCTTAGCTACACTATTTATTTAAACCTGTGTTACTCAACCCAGATGTGTGATGCAGCTGTGGGCAGAGAGTTAAGAATTGCCCCCAAACTGTGTTAAAACATGAAGTAAATGTTCGTCTCAAATCTTGATGATTTTTAAGCTTCTTCTTAAGTGTACTCCCCCCCCCCCCCCCCCCCCCCCCCCCCCCCCCCCCCCTTTTCAGTAATAACTGATTGTCATATTGCTGCACACTTGTTGTCTTTCTTTGATCTGTTGTAAGCTAACTGTTCAGTGTTGACATTGTTACAGAGAGTCACTAAATCACTCATTGAACCTATTAGTGTGTCCCCAATTTAAATGACAAACTGATAAATGTTCATATTGACATTGTTATGCCAAGTTAATGCTGTGTCATTACTCAAACAAATCCCTTTATTATTATCATCGGTTTTATATCACAATTATAAAGAAATTGTATGATTCAAAAAGTCAAAACTTTAGGGTAAACTTCTATTTCTCATCTCTGTGTTGTGGGGGCAGCTCTAATCCAAAAAGCTGCTTACTGTTGCACAACTGTCTGTGTGTATATTCATGTAACTTATTTGTTATTTTGGTTGGCAATAAATGTAGGATAACTCCATCAACTCTGATTCAGTATGTTTGTGCACTAAATGGGAATAAGGATATTTTTAATATTCATCTCTCAGTATATTGGACAAATTGGGTAATTATCTAACCCAGTTTATTTTAGTCACTGGATATCACTCACTGTGATAAAGGACAAATTGGATACACATTATTTAAACATTCGCTATATTTCACATATTCGACAAAGAAATAAAACTACATTTAAAATAAAAGCATGACGAAGTAAAGAAAACAAAAACAAAGAAACACTCAGAAATGCAAATCAATTTTAAAATGACTCTGCACCTGGACTTCCAAAAATTCAGAAAATAAATCACTTTTTTTTGCAAATAATCCAGGCCTTCCTTTGTAAATCGGTCTATCCGATACCTACAATACATCTCCTTCAACAATACATGTATAGTAGGTATATCCATGTTTTCTCTAAGATCAAGCTAATATCCTATTGGCTTGCAGGAATCCGAAGTCGTTTTAATTTGTAACCGACTAGCTATAAAGTTATGTGAAATGTACCTAATAGTACACACATTTCTGCTCTATTCGGCACCTTCCAGCCAACAAATCTTAGTCTAAATTGTTTAACAGCATTTGTTTTTGATATTTCAGTTTTATTGCATAATATTAAAGAAATCATTATAATAAAATGTGAGGTAAGTGGCTGATAATAGTTTTAAAATGGGGTTTTAATCGGTTTACACGCTGTCAGTGTCAAGTGCTCCCAGAGTGTGGGAAAACAACAATAACCATGCTCAGAGCTGATTGGCTGTTGGTAACGGTCGGCCCCACCATGAACGATGTGGATTATCTTCTACAGCTGACATCGAAATTTAGATAAAATGTAAGTCAAATATCTAAGGAATGTTGTTTTAACCAAACTTCATTGAGATTTAGCGGTTTGCCATGAAAAGTGGCTAACGTTAAAGGCGGCTAGCTTGCCAGAGAGACGCCTCTGTTATGGTTAGTGGTCAAAAACAAGCTTTTAGGATATCAGGCATTATTCTGAGAGGATAAACAAACATGGAACAAGAGGACATCAAGATAACATTTGGACGAACATGACGTTAACAAAACTGACACCGCACCGAAGCAATTTAACAAGTTGAGGTGCTCAGTCTGGATATCCCTTTTGTTAAACTAGAACTTTGATGTTTTTCAACCAAAAATTGTGTTTTTTTTGTGTTGCATCTGTCCAAAGTTGCCCCATTTTTTCCCACATTAAATACCACTCTGTTTGTGTTGTTACATGGGCACGTTTGCGTTTCAGTATTTGTGGCTGGTTTGAGTAAAGCCACTAGATGGCGGTCTTACCATTCAACATCTTTACTGAATGTTCAAAATGCATTTATGTTGATGCGACTAATGTACAATTGAGAAGACTCCTGGTGAGTCATTTGCCAGATTATTGGTAGTTTGTGATGTGATTGAAAGCAAATATATAATAATCACAGGTTACATTCTCTGACTTTATACCAATACAGTGAGACGGTATCAAAAGCTCTATGGAAACTGTGAGTTATCTGTAACCTACTTTGGTCACTTGAAGCACTTAAAATGTTCTCATGCATTTTACATCCTACTCCACAGCCATATTGAGGCTTTAGTAACAATGCTGGCAGCCCAGACTGTTGGAGAAATGATGTCTCATAGCAGTGGCAGATTGTAATAATAGAGTGTAAAGATTGATGCTCTCAATTAGAGGAAGGTAATTCCCTCCTACATGTTTTCTTCCTTGTATAAAAGATCACCACTTCCCCTGCAATGGACAGACTGATAAGAAAGATTACGCTTTACCTGATGCAACCATTACTAACAATGGCTTTTGTTTAAAAAATAATGGCTAAAAAGTCTGACTAATGATCAAGTGATAACAGGAACTATGAGGAACATTTTTATCTCCGTGCACTAATTACTCTACATGACAGTTTTAATATTCTGATGCACCTCTGGATTCCTGCTCAGGGGTGGTTTTGCAACTTTAAATATGGGTGGGGATGTGGTTGTGAGTATTTTTGTAGTTTATGTGCCTGTCTTTGTAGTTGATTGACTTTCAAACAAGAAATGTTAAACAGTCATTTCATAGACTCAAATCCCATGGGTCTGTTTCTTCTCTCTTGTTTCAATTTACTTCACATTCATGGTTTTACATAGCACCAGTATGTAGGCTACGACAGGTAGATTAATTTAGCATTGTGCACACCGCAAAACAAAACTGAAGTACATTTGATAACCATTTTACAGCTTGGCTCTTTCAAAGGTTTCTTTCATGACATAATCTTTAATTATTTACAATTGAACATGGGAAGTTTTACCCTTACATATTACAAAACATAACGGCCCGTCCACATGGCAGCGTGCGTTGAAGCTTCAACGCAGCTTCCCATTCACTTTGAATGGGGTGACGTCAGGCTTTGCCTAACTGCATTGTGGTTCCGTCGCTTCGCTTTGCCTCCGTTGCTCGCTTCAAAAGTTGAGAAAAGTTCAACTTTTCAAGCGTCGACAGAAGCGTCAGCCAATCAAATCATATGCCAGTACAAGCTCTAGCCAATCAAACCGCGTGCTTGTGTGTCCGGGGCGGGAGATTCATGTGATTGGTTGTTGGTCGCGCTCCAGACACGCCCACCGGCAAGCTTCAACGCACGCTGCCGTGTGGACGTCGCGTGCTTCAGCGGAGACGCTTCCCATTCACTTTGAATGGGGTGACGTCAGGCTTTGCCGAACTGTATTTGATTTGTGGTTCCGTCGCTTCGCTTTGCCTCCGTTGCTCGCTTCGAAAGTTGAGAAAAGTTCAACTTTTCAAGCGTCGACGGAAGCGCCAGCCAATCAAATCATATGCCAGTACAAGCGCTAGCCAATCAAACCGCGTGCTTGTGTGTCCAGGGCGGGAGATTAATGTGATTGGTTGTTGGTCGCACGCCAGACACGCCCACTGGCAAGCTTCAACGCACGCTGCCGTGTGGACGACGTACTTTCAACTTTTTAACGTCTCCTTCGAGTGAATTGCATTGTTTTGCATCTCTGTGATCAAACTGAATCTCGTTGTGGTTGTTTTACATCTCATGAAAATGTTGTGACTCTTAAATGTTTTTGAACATCTTAGTTATGTTGCCTTACTTTGTGGTTGCTTTGTGTCTTTTTGGCTTGTTTTGCACCAATGTTGCGTGACCTCCTTATCATCATCGTATTTCTGTTTGTGGTCGATTTATTGTATTTGTTTGGATTGATATTCCAACAAGAAATGTCAACTCTCATTTCACACGAGTCCCTGGGTCTGTATCCTTGTGGTTTGTTTTGTGTCTCTTTATAGTTTATTTGCGCTGTTCTGTACTCATTGTGTATCTCCTTTTGTTCTGCTTGTCTCTTTGTTTGTAGTTTATTTACCAACTAAATGAACGCATACAGAGGCCCTGCACCCAGTAGGCCTGTTCAGTTATCCATCCCTGTTATTAACAAACCAACCATCTTCTGCCTCTGGTACGAGAAGGTATTATTTAGGGGCTGGATCAGACTCCAGGGAGGGGTCCATGCCCTGCTTCGGTTCCAGCT